GGTCACCAATATTCAGATGGATGAGACTAGAATTCATCCGTGTCCTCTGACACAAGCCCTAGCTTTATATTTTAAATGACATTTTGGTTGTAGGTATAAACGATTGTTGTAAATAATTTGTTTCAATGGTTTAGGCAAACTTTTTTCTTCTACTTTGCTTAATTAGTAACAATACAGAACCAAATTTACCAAACAGTATTTCCCCCTCTAATGTGTTTCCATTAACTAGAGTTCTGTATGAAAAATGTTTGAATAGTTTTAGCAGTGAGGCTGTGAGCCATCTGATATTCAACAGTCCTTCTTAGGTCTTCAACTTACTGAAGGTAAAAGAAAATTCTGGAGCAAAACTGTTCTTGGAAGATACTTTGGAGGACAGAGAAAATTGTTGATGAATCCATTTTAAGTAACAATTTTTCCTGAAGCAAAAATACACGGGTGTGAGCACCCCTGTCATCTAGTGCCTCACACCACAAATATCTATTAAATACCAACCGGGCACAATGCAGGGAAACTAACATGCATGAGTTTTCTAGAGGTGAGCTTGGGTGGACAGAGACTCTGACTCAGAGCCAGAAGGAGCCTTCAGGACCATGTCTACCCACTTTGTGTCCAGGTTGGCTCCTGAGCCTCTAGGCTGCCACCTCCCTTCCAGGTGGCCAGTCAGCCTCCACTTTGTCGATTCCAGAGGTTGGAAGCTCCCTGATTTGTGTAGCTGCGTGTTTAGGTTTTAGAGAACTTGCATTGTGAAAGAATTCTTCCTTAAACTGAGACAAAACCCTAAACACTCTCCCTTGCTCCCCTACCACTCCCTCCCACCCTCCTGGGTCCATAAAACTAGCTAACTGGCCTAAATCGAAGCTTGAGACTGGGGCCTCTTGGCCTCATTGAACCCCCAGGAGTACTCTCCCTGCTCAATCTTAGCCTCACAGTGTTTTAAAACAACCTGGAACCCCTTTCTGCACTTAGAGGCCAGTGGTGACCCTGTGGCAGGATGACAGGTGGGCTGTCCATTCAGGGATCCCTGTGTGACATTCACCTCCTGGTCTGCAGGCTGCCCCACTCACCCACTTGACACTGCTGTCACCTGCCTGGCCCTGGTTTCATCACCTGCCTGTGTGGAAGACAGGCGTATTAACTCCCATAAAACACTTGTTTAGCATTTTCTGTATATAAAACATTTCAGGAGTGCTCACGTCTGTATATAAACATTTGTTTAGCATTTCTGCTGGGGAGAGGTTAGAAATTTTTTTTTAAAAGTGATACTCTTTCCTCTCAAGGAGCTTTCTGATTCGTGAGAAATGAGAAATATCAAGTAATTCAATCTGCTGAGGCCTGGAAGGCCTGGAGGAGCCCGCTGGGCAGAATGGTGGGGAATCGGAGAGTCCCTGCAGCCAGAGTTAGGTCAGGGCCTTATACTCCAGTGAGGATCTTGAGTGTGGACCACAGGACTCAGGGTAGGGGTTTAGGAAGTCGAGTAAGCCAGCAGTGCCCCGGGAACTCTGTGCCCGTGTGAGAGTCAGGTAGCTGAATTTGCAGGTCATCCTAAGGGTCCAGGAAAGAATTAGGGGTGCAGTATTGGAGATGGAGGGAGGAGGCGGAGTCCGCAGAGCATGTGGAGGTGGGTGAGGAGAGACTGCACTGGGGTGTGTGAGGGAGGTGGGTGAGCCGTAGATGACCGAAGCAGGGTGGTGCTGCTGACAGGGACATCACGGGGAGGAGATAGCAGGGAGGTCCTGAGGCAGGTTTTGTACCTGCAGGGGTGGAGGTGGTGAGGGGGCATCCAGGGGTCGGTGGTCTGGATGGTTGGAGGCTGGTGTAGAAGATAGGCCGGGAGTCTTCTGCCCAGAGGCACTAGTCAGAGCCCAGGCACTGAGAGACTCATCAAGGGAGGGAAGAGGGCCAAGACAGGACCATGGAACTCTGTCTATTTGGGGGTTGGGGGGAGCAGAGTGGGCCCAGACGGAACCATCGCAGGGAGGAGGAGACAGGAAAGCTGGCATGGGGCCACAGGAAGAGGGGCTCTGAGAAGGGGGACTTCTGGGAGGAAGTGTGTTGAGAGTGGTTGCTGCCGGTTGACGTGTAAAATGACCCAGCCCTTTTCAAAAGCTATTTGGCAACATGCCTTAGAAATTTTCAGAGCATTTGACCCAGCAGTTCCACTGCTTGAGATCTCTCTGAGAAAAACCGGCCTAGATATCCTGTGCTTGAGCCCCTCTGGAGGCCCCCGTCACTTTCGGGTTCACTGACCAGCCACGAAGTCCCACCTCTGCACGTACCCTCCCCATGCCTGCCCACTCCTATCTTGGCTCCTGCCGCCCTCAGTGCACTCCTGCTGCCGTGCCACTCCAAGGCTTGGCGCACGGGGCTCCCTCTGCTTGAAATATCTGTCTGCTCTGCTTTCCAGTGCCTGCACCTTCCAAATTCAATTTGAGCAGTACCTTTTCTGAGAAATTTTTGCCTCTTCATCCAGGCACTTTTCACAATGACTTGTACCAGCTCCTTAACTCTGTCTCCCCTGTTGACCAAGAATTTCTAGAGAACGGGGAGCAGTGGGGGTGTAGTAAATGATGTGCGCATGCCTGAATGTTTTTCTGCTCTCAGAAAGAGCTACGGGCATGAAGAAGATAATGATGATGGTTACTGTTATCTCACTGAGTACTTATGTGCCAGATGCCATCCTCAGAACTTCATGAGCTTTATCCTCACAATGTCTTGCCTTTATCTGAATAAACAATGCCATGTGTTAGGTATTGCTGTCTCATTTTTACAGATGGCTCAGGTTAAGTAAGTTGCCTAAGTTTATATAGAAGCAAAGGAGCTAGGGTTAAAAGCCGGTGTTCTTAATACCTCCCACTATCACCACCTCTATCATCTTCCTCCTCTTTAGGGGATCTGACCTTTTCCCAACACAGAGGACTTGTGGAAAGTCCATTCACTTCACAGCTGCCTCCCTCAATATCTGGTTATATTTATCAGATTATTTCTTTTAATAACTAAAATGGAACCAACCCCAAATATCCAGTAAGAGGGCTAGAGTTGAGTGAACTATAGATAGAAGAATAGAGATGTACATGAAGCCATTAAAAATGGTACTTATGAAGAGTTCGTAACAACATGGGGTGATGTTTATGTTACGTGGAAAATGAGGGCACAAAAATGTGTCTGCTGTGTGATCATCAATATAAAATAAGCAAACAAAGGGAGAAGACCATGTACGTAGCAATTCTGCAGTCAGTTCTACAGCTGCAGGGAAGTCACGGAGGATGAAGGCTGAGGAAACGTCATGAGACTGGGCCACCAGGAGGTCCTTGGCGTTGCTTCTCTTTCAGTAGAGCTGTGAGGGACGGAGGGGCCACCTGAGCATGGTCACAGGCTGAGGGAGGGAACCAGCGGAGGACTGGCACCTGAAGATGTAAGAAAGACACCAGGCATGGAATAGCGTCAGAGGGGAGTGGGAGACCTGAGGCTGGGTGGCAGGAGTGGAAGACATGGAGATATAGAGAATGACGTGTGGGCAGGACTGAGAGTTTGGGGAGAGTGACAAGACCACCCATTTTTTCTCTTATAGCATCACTCCAGCCCCTTCACCATCAAGGCCGCCTTCCTCTGGGTGAATTTCAGTTCCTTAATGCCATCTTAGCGGCACTGTCCTCTAGGTCTGGTCTGCTCAGCCAAGGTGGGCGGGACTTGTGGGGCTGCAGCCTCCCGTGAGCTGCTCTCAGCGCGGCGCTGAGTTAGTGCTCTGTTTCAGTGGAGCAGCTGCGCGCTGCCCCGGAGCGCACGTGCCTGGTGCCTGCGGTTAAGTCTTGGTTCCGCTGTTTACTAACTGGGTAACACTGAGCCAGTTACTTAACCTCTCTGAGTGTCC